GTTTCCTGACTACCTAACATCTTTCGAGACCCTGAGTAATAATGTGCCCTGAACTGTGCCGTGCTGTACCCTATACTAATACTCCACTAATGTGTGGTAGCGACGGAAGCAGTCCTTGAGGCCAGGTTGCCCAGGACAGGAGGAACAAAAAAATCAGGTCACACCGAATTCCATGTCTGCTACGATACAACCTCTTTTCTGGGGGTGCCTTTTGGGTTTGGGGTACTAGGAATGGCATAGGGAAAATGCCTCTCATGCAGCCGGCTAACTGCATTTGGGTTGAGGGTTTGAGGCATAGCATCTTTTGGATAGAAAAGGGCCATGATGATCTCTTCCTGGAATTTTTAGGAAGCATCCACTACGTCCATTTGCTTTGTAAAGCACAAAAGCATTATATAGAGCCAATTGAAATAAACAGACACCTTTTTTTTTTGTACCAGTGTCTGGCTTTTTGGGAAGCAAAGTACGGCTTCATCATTTAGTCTTTGAATTCCACCCCTTCCATGTTAAGGTTATAGACATGGACACAGAGGGGCTTCTCAACAACACCAGCTGCCGTGGTAATTTGGATGGTCGTATCTGCTTGAATGGAAGACAGGATGAAACATCCGGTTTGTCGTTCCACTTCACTGCGAGCAATTCCTCATTTCTCAAGCAGGCTTTTTCCCCCTTTCTAAGACGGGTATTTACAAACCATTAGGGAAGGCCTCGGTGATTAGGTCGCGCGGTGCCACATGCGCCAATTCCATGATTGTACAAATGTCTAAATATTGGCACGTGTGAATAAAAATTGTCCACGTATAAGTGGTACCCCATATGGAAAAAGAATGACATCAAGTCCAAAACTATCTTGCCACTGCTCCCCATATTGTCTGGGCATCCTGGGGGGCTCCATGTGACTATTTTTTCCCTCGTAAATTCGAAACGTTTATGTATAGCCTGTTGCTATAAATTTAATGAGGGACTCATCAATGTAGATATTTTGCTGGGGAGTATAGACATCTGCAAATTTTTGGTTAAGATGATGAGGGGCCCTATTTTGTGGAGCCGGTCATGTTCAGGGTCACCCCAAGAACGACAGCGTGTATTGTCGTCGAAATGCTTAAAACGCATTATACTCTCACGGGCATTTGACGAATCGGGTCTGTGGACCGCAATTTGTAATGCCCATGTTTAGGGTTCGGCCAAAAAAAACTTTAAATTCAGAAACCGTAATGGGTTTTCATGCGAATGGTCTGGTCTGGCAAGGTTTGAATCTGGGTTGGCAGCGATAACTTGTTGTGCATATAAATTGCTTTGATCCACAATCAATGCATACAGATATTCTGTGAAAAACCGTTCCAAAAAATCATGGGGAGTATTTGCTGTTTCCACCTGAATTCCAGGTTGGGCAGTGAATGGGGGAAAAACGGGTGCTGCAGAATTTGTGGGTTTCCAATTGGGATTTGCAAGCACATCCGGAAGGATACTTTGGGCTCTACGGGCCTGTGTGCGAATTCTTGGTTGCTGCGGGATACTACTTGTGCTAGCCACCGCACCAGCTTGTACTGCACTTATGGGACTTGCCACATCATCAAATGATACTGCAGTGCTGGTATGTGAAAGACAAGAATATAGAAGGCTGCTGGTGCTCGGCAGTTCACCATAAGGTAGAGCGACGCTAGTACTGGCATTCTGCTGCATATGAGAGTCATCATGCAGTTGTAACTTCTCAACAACCTAGGAATGGGGTCGGGTACACCTGATTTAGGCAGGGACCTCTTCATCGCCTGAGCTATCTGTCAGGGTGCCGCTGCTGTCTACAGGTTCGTATTCTGAGGCTGATTGTGTCGGGGAGTCTTCTTCGCTCTCACCTGACATGCTCAGAATCCTGTAGGCCTCTTCTCTAGAATACCTTTCCAGTGACATTTTGGCCACTAAATTTATAGGTACCTAGTGCGACTCATGGGGAAAAAGAGCACCTGGCTGTTAGGGACCGCTACAAAAAAAATTTACCGACAAGTGCTAACAGAGATCAGGCCTGATTCTGTGAACACTGCGATTTTTTTTTGTGCAATGTATTAAGTGACAGTGATCTAATGATACTGCTCTTGCTGGGGGAGAAGGTGGGGAGGCATAGGGGCTAAACGTAGGTGGTGGCAGATGTCAGGATTGATCCCGCTAACGCTGCATTTTTGGGGACACTATACTAATGTGAACGCTGGTATAGTTCTGATCTGATCAGATCTTAATCTGTTCAGACACTATACTAGCAATGGAGGTTTGTTGTGTATGTGACCGTGTTCCTGGCAATCAAGAGGTTAAATGTGATTACTGGTTTACTAACTGGCAAAATTACACTCTCTGGGAGGGGTGCTAACTGATGCGAACGCGTCTGAAGTTGCCAGTGACACTAATACAGTGATCAGAAAAAAAAAGAAATCTGTACACTGTACTAATGACACTGGTGGCAGGGCAGTGAAGGGGTTAAGGGGGTGGCAATCAGGGGGTTAAATGTGTTCTAACTGTAATTGTGTAGTGCTTGTAATCACAATTCTGTTGATTTTTCTCTCCCTGGGACTGAATGTGCCCAGAGAGAGAAGATGTCATTACTTCCTGTACCTGTGTAACTGTCAACACAGGACACGATAGGACAGGGATCGATCATCTGACTTAGGCTGGACATCACTGGCCTAAATCAGATGATTGGTCCCTTGGGGATCAAGTCATAGCACCCGCGTCCCCCAACCCACGAAAACCATGGGAGCACGGATCACGTGTACATACACGATTTTGCGCACCCGTGCCGCTGTGTAGCAGTATACCTGCTTTACTGCTGCGAGTAAGCGGTTAAGGAACAGTTGCCCCCTGGGTAGATTCGGTGGGAGTTATTAGAAGGGTGTATATACTGTACTTATACAATAATCAACCGCAATCATTGGTCAAGAGTGGTATAAAGGCAGTTGTGAATGTCCAATATGCCTGGTGGGCTTGGGACTGCATAGGTTGTAAATGGCCTAGGCTGGGTATAGTCTTTCACATCATTTAATTAAACTATTGAAGAGACGTACATGACTTTTCAGAATTATGTCTCCACCAATACAGTCAGGTCCATAAATATTGGGACATCGACACAATTCTAACATTTTTGGCTCTATACACCACCACAATGGATTTGAAATGAAACGAACAAGATGTGCTTTAACTGCAGACTGTCAGCTTTAATTTGAGGGTATTTACATCCAAATCTGGTGAACGGTGTAGGAATTACAACAGTTTGCATATGTGCCTCCCACTTGTTAAGGGACCAAAAGTAATGGGACAGAATAATAATCATAAATCAAACTTTCACTTTTTAATACTTGGTTGAAGTTGCAAATCCTTTGCAGTCAATTACAGCCTGAAGTCTGGAACGCATAGACATCACCAGACACTGGGTTTCATCCCTGGTGATGCTCTGCCAGGCCTCTACTGCAACTGTCTTCAGTTCCTGCTTGTTCTTGGGGCATTTTCCCTTCAGTTTTGTCTTCAGCAAGTGAAATGCATGCTCAATCGGATTCAGGTCAGGTGATTGACTTAGCCATTGCATAACATTCCACTTCTTTCCCTTAAAAAACTCTTTGGTTGCTTTTGCAGTATGCTTTGGGTCATTGTCCATCTGCACTGTGAAGCGGCGTCCAATGAATTCTGAAGCATTTGGCTGAACATGAGCAGATAATATTGCCCGAAACACTTCAGAATTCATCCTGCTGCTTTTGTCAGCAGTCACATCATCAATAAATACAAGAGAACCAGTTCCATTGGCAGCCATACATGCCCACGCCATGACACTACCACCACCATGCTTCACTGATGAGGTGGTATGCTTAGGATCATGAGCAGTTCCTTTCTTTCTCCATACTCTTCTCTTCCCATCACTCTGGTACAAGTTGATCTTGGTCTCATCTGTCCATAGGATGTTGTTCCAGAACTGTGAAGGCTTTTTTACATGTCGTTTGGCAAACTCTAATCTGGCCTTCCTGTTTTTGAGACTCACCAGTGGTTTCCATCTTGTGGTGAACCCTCTGTATTCACTCTAGTGAAGTCTTCTCTTGATTGTTGACTTTGACACACATACACCTACCTCCTGGAGAGTGTTCTTGATCTGGCCAACTGTTGTGAAGGGTGTTTTCTTCACCAGGGAAAGAATTCTTCGGTCATCCACCACAGTTGTTTTCCGTGGTCTTCCGGGTCTTTTGGTGTTGCGGAGCTCACCGGTGCGTTCCTTCTTTTTAAGAATATTCAAAACAGTTGTTTTGGCCACGCCTAATGTTTTTGCTATCTCTCTGATGAGTTTGTTTTGTTTTTTCAGCCTAATGATGGCTTGCTTCAATGATAGTGACAGCTCTTTGGATCTCATCTTGAGCGTTGACAGCAACAGATTCCAAATGCAAATAGCACACTTGAAATGAACTCTGGACCTTTTATCTGCCCATTGTAATAAGGATAATGAGGGAATAACACACACCTGGCCATGGAACAGCTAAGAAGCCAATTGTCCCATTACTTTTGGTCCCTTAACAAGTGGGAGGCACATATGCAAACTGTTGTAATTCCTACACCGTTCACCAGATTTGGATGTAAATACCCTCAAGTTAAAGGTGACAGTCTGCAGTTAAAGCACATCTTGTTCGTTTCATTTCAAATCCATTGTGGTGGTGTATAGAGCCAAAAATTTTAGAATTGTGCCGATGTCCCAATATTTATGGACCTGACTGTATATTGATCCAACCAATTAATCAAGCCACTTTTAATTTTCGTATACACAAACTATGTAGATGCAGGGATCCACTGCGTTATTGTATCCCCCCCCCCCCCCCCCCCCGGCAGAATACACTGATCAGTGCTGCAGTCATTGGCTGATTTCTGGTACATATATAGAAAAGAGAGATGGTTATAAAAAAAAATAAAAGCTTTAACATGATAGGAATGTGGAAATTTATTAAAACATTCCAGTGACATTTTTTTTTTTCTTTTCCCAGTCGTCGTCTTTCAGCAGCATCACAGACTCGACTATGTCTTTGAACATCATTACAGTCACGCTCAATATGGGTGAGTGTGGTGTACAGATACTCTCCTTTTTCTCCAGCCAGTCCAAAACTGTCAACAGTTGACACATCTTTACCTTCAGGATGGTGGTGGGGCATGTAAAAGCTTGTCCCAAAACAAACATTTTGAAGCTTTTCTTTTTCTTTTCAGACTTCAAGACACCAGCTAGTTGTTTCTTAGCTTTTGTGTGTTTCCAAGACTGATCTTTTTATTTCTTTGCATTTTATTTGTAATTATTTTCATGTTGTATATTTGTGTAACTAGAAAAATACAACTTTCTGGGCATCAGCATCGTTGGACAAAGTAATGAACGTGGAGATGGAGGCATCTACATTGGTTCTATCATGAAAGGAGGAGCTGTGGCTGCTGATGGGAGGATTGAGCCGGGAGATATGTTACTGCAGGTGCTTGTTACATCAAACCTGGGAAAGCCATATTAAGGAAAACATGTCAACGGGGAAATATGTGGGTTGCCATTGTTAACATCTGTCGACAATTTCAGTTGCCCCGCTGTCGTGCTGATACTTTTGCTTTGGTTTTTTTGAGTCACAGAACCAGATCAAGTATAGAGATGGGAAATTTTGATTATTATGACTTTGTTTACTATATAAATTCTTAGATTAGGGCCAAACCAGTCATGCCACACATGTGAGGTACCATAATGCACATCAGAGTGAGAGTAGAAACTCTAGGTTGTCTGTTTAATGCAACCCCGTAGTTTATATTTTGCAAGCATTTTGTAAACAGTCGTGCAAATATTGTGCAACATAAAAACTTGTGACTGCCACCATTTTAATTTGTTTGCTAGTACAAAATATGCAGATTTCTTGTGGAGTCCTGCAGAACTGAAATTAACCAGGTCCTGCATCTTTGATTTCTGCAGGTCAATGACATTAATTTTGAGAACATGAGCAATGATGATGCAGTGAGAGTCCTTAGAGAGATTGTGCACAAACCAGGGTAAGTCTTTAAAGAGATGTAATTTAATATATGTTTAGCAGCTTTATATTTGCAAATGGAACTCTCAAACATTCCTTATATCAACTCACCCTTGAGTACTTCCGTCTTTAGTAATCATAGGACAGAGTCTCGCACATCACAGTTGATAAGTTTAACCTAAGCCCCTATTTAAAGTGGTAGTAAAGTGCTCCCCCCAAAAATTTCCCCCTGCAAGTTAATGTCATAATGTGGTAGTACAGCACTGGCCAAAAGTTATGAGAATTACACAAATATTTACCTGCAAGGAAACGCATGCAGTCATCATTGCTTTGCACAAAAAGGGACTCACAGACAAGGATATTGCTGCTGCTAAGATTGCACCTAAGGGCTTATGTACATGAGCAGCTGCTAAACTCGAGTTTAGGAGCTTTTGGATTTTGTTTGCCAACATTGCTGAACTCAACTCCATAAAAGCCTATGTGTCCATGTACACGAGCCTACTCTGACTACCAGCCACGGGAAAATGCAAATTGCGGCAACCGCGGTACCACAATTTTGTCGCGTTTTTCAGTTTCCCGAGGTTGGCAGTCAAAATGTTTCTATCCTGAACGCGGTTCTTTTGCGTTCAGAAGAAGGAGGTTTAGCCTCACCTAAACGCAGAAGCTCCTAAACTCTAACAGCCTATGTGTACGTGGACTCATAGGCTTTTATGAAGTTGAGTTTAGGAGCTTTGGCAAAAAAAAAAGCCAAAAGCTCCTAAGCTCGCGTTTAAGAGCTGCTCATGTACATGGAGCCTTAAATCAGCCATTTATCAGATCATCAAGAACTTCAAGGAGAGGGATTCAGTTGTTGTGAAGAAGGCTTCAGGGCACGCAGAGTCCAGCAAGTGCCAGGACTGTCTCCTAAAGTTGATTCAGCTGTGGGATCTGGGCACTACGAGTGCAGAGCTTGCTCAGAAATGGCAGCAGGCAGGTGTGAGGATGTCTGCATGCACAGTGAGGCGAAGTCAAGAAGGGCAGCAAAGAAGCCACTTCTCTCCAGGAAAAACATCAAGGACAGACTGATTTTCTGCGTAAGGTACAGGGATTGGACTGCTGAGGACTAGGGTGAAGACACTTTCTCTGATGAATCCCCTTTCCAATTGTTTTGGGCATCCGGAAAAAACCTTGTCCGGAGAAAGAAAGGTGAGCGCTACCACCAGTCCTGTGTCATGCCCAGCAGTAAAGCATCCTGAGACCATTCATGTGTAGGGTTGCTTCTCAGCCAAGGAAGTGGGCTCTCGCACAATTTTGCCTAAGAACACAGTCATGAATAAAGGTACAAAAACCTCCTCTGAGAGCAACTTCTCTCAACCATCCAAGAACCGTTTGGTGACAAACAATGCCTTTTACCAGCATGATGGAGTACCTTGCCATAGGGTAAAAGTGATAACTTAAATGGCTTGGGAAGCAAAACATTGACATTTTGGGTCCATGGCCAGGAAACTCCCCAGACCTTGATCCCATTGAGAACATGTGGTCAATCCTCAAGAGGCAGGTGAACTAAAAAAGTAAAAACTTACAAATTCTGATAAACTCCAAGCATTGATTATGTAAGAATGGGCTGCCATTAGTCAGGCTGTGGCCCAGAAGTTGATTGACAGCATGCCAGGGCAAATTGTAGAGGTATTGAAAATGAAGGGTCAACACTGCAAATATGGACTCTCTGCATAAACGTATTGTAATTATCAATAAAATCCTTTCACACTTATGAATGCTTGTAATTATACTTCAGTATACCATAGTAACATCTGACAAAAAGAGTGCTTATTTTCTGCTCCTAAGCTCAGACTTCTATCTAGGTGCCATCTAACGTTTTGCTTTTGCAAGTGAGTTCTGGGCTTGACAGCATCTCTGAAGGCAGTTCCATATGCTTAATTCCACTCCACACCATTAAAATGTAAAATTCTGGTTGCTTAGGAGAAAAAAAAAATATGCTGCTGTTTTACTGATTAGCCTGACAGGTTTTTCCTGGCTTTATGGCTCACAAATTAATTCCTGGAGTAAGGGAAATCCTTCACTTTATTGGCCTGGAAGATTCTTACTACACAGTCCAGACTGATGGACTCAGGAGGTATCCTGGACTCTCAGTGCAGGGACTTTGTCTCTGGCGGAAGCTTGTCTCCCGATTAGAGATGTAACATTTCTGGAAATTCTGAAGCCATGAGAAAGTTTTTTTTAAATTTTTTTTAGGAATCTTTCATTAAGGTCTCATATTTATGACATGGTATTCAAATTATATAAAATTATTTCATTGCAAAACAACTTATTCCACACTTTTTGTTTTTCTGGGGGAAAAAAAAAACCCAAAAAAAGCTCTGTAAAAGATGGAAAAATTGGTGGGAGACGAAAAAAGAGAAAATGTTTTTTTGTTTTTTTTTTTTCCTAAGGACTTCCCATCTATACTCCCAATCAACATACTAGAGCTGATTCTTGCAAACAATGCCTCAGCAATGCCTCCATTATCTGGGGAAAACAAGAATTTTCGCAGCTCTAAGACACTTAACAGTTTGTCTTGGGCATAATTTCATATCCTGGCCCTCTATGCCGTGCACATTCCAGACGTGAATAATTGACAGGCAGACTTCCTCAGTGGACACCGTCTGGACCCCTTCGCTTCCATATTCAACAACAAACTGATCGTTTGTCACCAGGTCCAGGGATTCTCCAGCCATAGCAGTGAATGTCCTGGGGACTCTGTGGGATCAGTTCAACCTGACCAATGCCTTTCCTCTGAAGCTCTTTCCACGTCTGCTGTGTTGGATTGAGACAGAAGGCATTCCAGTCATGCTCCTCACACTAAATTGGTCCGGGCAGATGTGGTACTATGACTTTTTCTGACTCCTAGTAGGCTCTTCAGATCACCTGAATCCTTTGTCCCATGGACCTGTTTACCTTCTTGCTTTACAGTAGCTGGCTTTAACAGCATGGCTGTTTGAAATGTGGGTCCTAAGAAATAAGATCAATCTGTTTTTTTTTTTTGTTTTTTTTTATTCCTACACCCCAAAAAGCTGGGAAATCTCACCTCTTGCAAGATCAACCATCACATATGGAAAGTGTATTTTACATGGTGTGAGGCAAGGCATATTCATCCCAGTTCTGTATTATACAGTCAGGTCCATAAATATTGGGACATCGACACAATTCTAAACATTTTTGGCTCTATACACCACCACAATGGATTTGAAATGAAACAAACACGATGTGCTTTAACTGCAGACTGTCAGCTTTAATTTGAGGGTATCTACATCCAAATCAGGTGAACGGTGTAGGAATTACAACAGTTTGCATATGTGCCTCCCACTTGTTAAGGGACCAAAGGTAATGGGACAATTGGCTTCTCAGCTGTTCCATGGCCAGGTGTGTGTTATTCCCTCATTATCCCAATTACAATGAGCAGATAAAAGGTCCAGAGTTCATTTCAAGTGTGCTATTTGCATTTGGAATCTTTTGCTGTCAACTCTCAAGATTAGATCCAAAGCTGTCACTATCAGTGAAGCAAGCCATCATTAGGCTGAAAAAAAAACAAACAAACCCATCAGAGAGATAGCAAAAACATTAGGAGTCGCCAAAACAACTGTTTGGAACATTCTTAAAAAGAAGGAACTCACCGGTGAGCTCAGCAACACCAGTAGACCACGGAAAACAACTGTGGTGGATGACCGAAGAATTCTTTCCCTGGTGAAGAAAACACCCTTCACAACAGTTGGCCAGATCAAGAACACTCTCCAGGAGGTAGGTGTATGTGTGTCAAAGTCAACAATCAAGAGAAGACTTCACTAGAGTGAATACAGAGGGTTCACCACAAGATGTAAACCATTGGTGAGCCTCAAAAACAGGAAGGCCAGATTAGAGTTTGCCAAACGACATGTAAAAAAGCCTTCACAGTTCTGGAACAACATCCTATGGGCAGATAAGACCAAGATCAACTTGTACCAGAGTGATGGGAAGAGAAGAGTATGGAAAAGGAAAGGAACTGCTCATGATCCTAAGCATACCACCTCATCAGTGAAGCATGGTGGTGGTAGTGTCATGGCGTAGGCATGTATGGCTGCCAATGGAACTGGTTCTCTTGTATTTATTGATGATGTGACTGCTGACAAAAGTGGAATGTTATGCAATGGCCAAGTCAATCACCTGACCTGAATCAGATTGAGCATGCATTTCACTTGCTGAAGACAAAACTGAAGGGAAAATGCCCCAAGAACAAGTGGGAACTGAAGACAGTTGCAGTAGAGGCCTGGCAGAGCATCACCAGGAATGAAACCCAGCGTCTGGTGATGTCTATGCGTTCCAGACTTCAGGCTGTAATTGACTGCAAAGGATTTGCAACCAAGTATTAAAAAGTGAACGTTTGATTTATGATTATTATTCTGTCCCATTACTTTTGGTCCCTTAACAAGTGGGAGGCACATATGCAAACTGATGTAATTCCTACACCGTTCACCTGATTTGGATGTAAAATACCCTCAAATCAAAGCTGACAGTCTGCAGTTAAAGCAGATCTTGTTCGTTTCATTTCAAATCCATTTTGGTGGTGTATAGAGCCAAAAATGTTAGAATTGTGTCGATGTCCCAATATTTATGGATCTGACTATGTCCTATCAGATTTGGTTTGACACTTGGCCCTAAGGACTATCAAGGGCCAAATCATGCACCTCTCAGGTCGTCTTCTTTTTTTTTCTTTTTTTTCCCAATATTCTTTTGCCTCTTATTCCTTAGTAAAGGCCTTAGTAGAGGGTGTGGCTCATATAGTTCCACCTGTACCTATACCTGTGACTCGGTGTTATCTCAACCTGATTCTGTCAGCTATTCAGACACATTGCTTTGAACCCCTCAAAGATATCCCACACTTGTCTATAAAGTTGCCTTTCTTTTTTGCCATCACCTCTGTAAGTTAGTAACCCTCTCTCATGGAGAACCTTTTCTGCTACAAATAAACAAGAATGCCTTTAGGTCTAGGGCCTCTTTTCTTCTTAAAGT